CATTGTAGGATGATGGAGGGGAACTGGGACGGGCATGGATAAAAGTGACTTGGCACAGAGAGAACTAGACAGTGTACACAGAGAGTCCAAAGGCTACATAACCCTCTCAACACTAATTCTTGGCGGCATCTGAGTAAGCAATCCTTAGGCCATGGTAGCACAAAGTCCAGTCACCTGGGGGATATTTAGGAGTCTGACAGGTTGTGATTATAGGATGGGGAGAGTCTAAATTCTGTGCACAGATTCTGCCCCAAGTCTCTGGCTGACGCCTGGACCACATATGCATGGGCTGTAAACAGCCCAGCCAAGTATAAAATATTGAAACTGAGATTTGAGTTGCCAGCCACCTAACTAAATTAACGTATAAACATCAATACTCTTTGGAGAAAGATAACAAAATTCACAACATAGCATTCATAGCATCCAGAAGACAACCCCAAAGTATTCAACATATAAAAGCAAGAGTAAAAAGAACTCCAGACAATTATGCTGGGTTTGAGTTTGAGACTAAAGGTAGGTCTAGAGCGGTGAGCAGCGTCGTTGGGAGGACAATGGGGTGGTCAGTCAAACTGGAAGCCCAGGCTCTTGAACAGAAGAAACACTGAGTGAAACTCCACATTCCAGAAGTTCTGTCTTCAATACTCTGTGGGCATCCGGGGATCTCCCAGAACTCTCCATCCAGTGACTGGTGTCTGACTGGCAGGGACAGAGCCTGGGAAGGAAGAGCAGGGACAGGGGAGGCAGCCAGAGGCCCAGCTATTGTGCTGACTCTATTTTCTGAGAATATGAATTCATTCTGATCCCTGCTGGTCTGGGGGTGGAGACTGTTAAATTCTGTGCCCCTGAGGAAGTCTGCTCTGTAACTGGGGCAGGTCCAACCAGAAGGTGGGAGGTCTTTGAGACACCAAATCTGGAATTTCGGGAAAGGGAGAGGTGGCACTGGCCAAAGGCGGGGAGCCAGAGACAGCCAGCTCCTTCTCCACGCGTGTGGGGTTACCCTTCCGGTCCCTCTCCTCCCTTCTTTCCCTGCTCCCTCAGCTAGCCTCCACAGGGGTGAGAGCACCCTTAAAGGCAAAAGTAAAGACCTCATTAAATCGAGAAACGCAGAGAATAGAACGAATAGAAATGAAGCTCTTTCAGCTCCCCCCTAGGAGGCCTCAGCAGAACAGCACTTCTCCGTGGAAAGCATTAGCACTGAAGTAATTCCTTAATGGACTGCGGCACTCCAGGGCCCCCAGATGCCCAGCGGCACGGATGGGGGTGCAGGAATTTACACCCAGCCCTCCCTCTCCCCGACATTCAGCCTCAGACTAGAGTCCCAGGGCTGCAGGTGATGAAACACAGGCCACCCTGGGGAAGATCTGGAGAATTTGGCTTCCAACCCACCTTCCAACCACTCACATGCTCTCCCAGAGAGTTGTGTGGGATATTCCCAGCAGGTCTGGCTTTTTGAGGTGTTAGAACTTGAAAAACGGAAGTGAGAAATGGTAAAAATTTAAGTAATTTCAGTTGTCCTGGTGACCTGGGGATCCTGGATGAAGGAAGACCTCTGCTTGGGCCAGAAGTGCTCTCCATGCAAAGGAACTGAGCTCTTTTTCTGTAACCTGGTGATGCTGAAATCCTGAGCCCCATGAAATCCAGGACATCAGTAAAGGCAGCTCAGTGGAGGGAGAAGCAATGGGATTTAGAGTCAGGGAACCTCGGTTTGAATCATGGCTTCATTGCTAAATTGCTGTATGATTATCTAGACTCCCTAGGGCTTAGTGGTTTTGTTATTTGGAAGTTGGGGGTAATAATTATCTATCTCATAGGGTGGACTGTGACCATGAAATGAAATTAAATGTATGAAAAAGTTCAACGGTTGACTCCAGTGAAAAGCAGACATCATCACCTGTCTGTGGCATTCTGGGTGGTCCAGGAGAACTTCCTGATAGTGATATTAATAATCGATGTTAAAGACAAGATGACGGACCCAAAATGGAGTCACTTATGCTAAGCCCCATGTCACCAAACTAGACTCAGCTATAGCTTTCCCTCTCCCTGAAATGGAATCTTAGACCAGTCACCCAGGAATCGCTTGATGAGAACTAGGTAACCAATAACTAATAGCCCCCTGCCATTCCCTAATGGGAAAGTAACCTTGCAATAAGCAATTTGGTCTTTGCCTCGTACAGCTTCCTTGTTCCTTCTGCCTATAACATTTCTTGCCTTGGACAGCTCTTTGGAGCTCCTTTGCATCTGCTAGATTGGATGCTGCCCAATTCATGAATCACTGGATAAAGCCAATAAGATTTTTAAAATGGACTCAGTTGAATTTTGTTAATGCAGGTAATATTTTTAAGCATTTACTATATGCTAGGCACTGTGCTCTAAATTTGCATGCATCAACATATTTAATCCTCTTAATGATGCTGTGGGTCATGTATTCTTCTTACACCCATTCTACATGCCAGGAAACAAAGGTTCAGAATATACAAGCAATTTGCTCAGGATAGCATACCTAGTAAGGAGCAGAGTTGGGGCTTGAACCTACCACATGCCAAGCACCACTGTGCCACACTGCCACTCAGCTGAACAAAGAAGCAAGTTGCTCCAAGGTTTGCCGTGGCCACTTGGAGAACAGAATAATGCCACAACTGCACACGGAACAGATGGTTTTGAGGACTGGAATTACCCCAATATTCTCAGTGTCCATGAGCATCTCACCTGCTTAATGTTTGTCATGATATTTTTGTGAAATATATCTGAGGCAGGTAGACTTCTAAGGTGGCACCCAGTGATCCCTGTCTCCTGATGGAATCCCTCTTCCTGAGTGTAGGCTGGATCTAGTGACTTACTTTTAATGAATATAAAACAGCAACATGATGGGACATCACTCTGTTGGTTTTCTATCACCGTGTGTATTAGTCAGCTTGGGATGCCATAACAAAATACCACAGATGATAGGTTTAAACAACAGATGTTTATTTTTTTCCCACAGTTCTGGAGCCTAGAAGACCCAGATCAAGGATCCAGCCAATTTGGCTTCTGGTGAGAGCTCTCTTCCTGGCTTGTAGACAATCACCTTCTCACTGCATCCTTACAAGACTTCTCCTTGGTGAGTTTGTCTGGAAGGAGTGAGTGAGCGCTGTGATGTCTCTTCTTATAAGGACACTAATCCCATTGGATCAGGGTCTCACCCTATGACTTCATTCGACCTCAGTTACCTCCTTATTGGCCTTATCTCCAAATAGTCACATTGTAGGATTAAGGCTTTAAGATGTGAGTTTGAGGGTAGAAGGAGACACAGTTCAGTCCACAGCTTTGCATCATATATTACAACACACGTAAAGACTTAAAGCAATACACCTTATTGTCTCACTCTTTCTGTGGGCCAGGAGTCAGGGTGTAGATTAGCTGGGTTCCCTGCTCTAAGTATCACAAATTTAAAATCAAGGTGCTGGCCAGGTTGAGTCCGTGTCTACAGATTCTGGAGGAAAACCTACTTCCAGGCTCATTCTTGCCATTGGCAGAATTCAGCTCTTGCAGTTGTAGAGCTGAGGGTCCTGTTTCCTTTGCTGGCTGGCATCTCTGGGCTGCTGTCAGCTGCTAGGGGACACCTGCATTCCTTACAGCATGGCCCCCTCCATCTTCAAGTCAGCAAGAGCATGTCTAACCCTTCTTGTGCTTTGAATCTCTGACTTCCCTCATCTCTGACCTTGAAACCCAGACTCATTAACTATACATGTGGGAGCTACTCTTCTACAGGCCTCATGTGATTAGGTCAGTTCCACCTGGATAATCTCCCTATCTTTGGGTCAACAGATTTGAGACCTTAATTACATTTGCAAAATCCTTTTAGCCTTCTGATGTCATCTAACCATGGGCGTGACTGACACCCGATCCCACTTACAGCCCTGGGATATGAAGGATGTGTACACCTGGGGAACAGCTTAGAATTTTGTACACCACAGTCACTTCCAAGTTTAGGACACAGAACACTGTGACTTTCATCTTGCTTCTACTTTCTTTCCCTAGCTCTTTTCTCCTCTTGCTCTGATGAAGCTGGTTGCCCTGTCGTGGGCAGCCCCATGGAGGGACCTTGTGTGGCAGAAACTGAGGGCCGTCTCAGTCCCAAAGCCCATGAAGTGAAACCCACCAACAACCAGGTGAGTGAGCTTGGAAGAGGACCCGTTCCCCCTCGTTGTCTACAGCCCTGCCCACACCTTGATTGCAGCCTCATGTGAGACCCTCAGCAAGAGGACTCACCTAAGCCACACCCTGACCCCTAAGCAGGCTATTTTTAAGCTACTAAGTTGGGAGGTAACTTCTCATACAGCAGTGTATAGCTAATACAGTATCTCTCGACAAAAGCAATGTGATAGGAACAAACACACTCACAGACTTAGGAAACAGACTTACGGTTACTGAGGGGAAAGGGGGTGGGAAGGGATAAATTGGGAGTCAGAGATTTGCAAATATTAACTACTATATATAAAATAGATAAACTAACAAGTTTCTTCTGTATAGTACAGAGAACTGTATTCAATGTCTTGTAGTAACTTATAATGAGAAAGAATATGAAAACGAATATACGTATGTATACGGATGACTGAAACATGCTGTACGTTAGAAATGGACACATTGTAACTGATTATACTTCAATTAAATATTTAATTAATTGATTGATTTTAAAAAAAGAGTGTATGATCTCTACTTAGGTTATTTCCAAGAGGTTGAGTGAGGAAAGAAGAGTGCTATGATACCCAATAATGTGCCATGAAACATGATTCATGTGAGTTACGTGTGAAGGTGCTGGCTTACCATAAGGGCTGGTTGACGATGACCAGGATTTGTGATAAAATGGGGGAGGGGTGCTATTTCAGAGGCAAATTTCCCTGCTCACTTGACATGTGGTCCTTTCTGTTTAAACAAAGCAGTAAATCTTTTTCACATCCCATGAGTTACCACCGGGCCACATGGAAAGCGTTCAGGATTTTCTAGTCTCTGAACAGTATCACTCACCAGTTAGTTAGCAATTGGCACCTGGGTACCATCTGGCATCTTGTGGCTGTGCCCAGAACTAGCATCTTCATGTTGGCAAGACGGACACCACGAAGCACCTTTCTTTCCCTGGGAGAAAATAAAGTCGACCAGATTTGCCTCCTTCATGAAACAGGTCAGGGTGCAACTGTCAGCCCATATCTAACATTTGCACAGCCAAGGGCAAGAGTGGGAACACAAGGCCTGTATACCGTATGTTAAACAGTTACAAAACGAAAACCTAAGTAAAAAATGTTCTAGCCTCCTTCCTTGATGAATATGCCTTCACAGCAACCTAGAAGGCCAGGGTCTCATGCAGAGTTCTCAGACTCATCGCGTGTATGGGGGAAGTCACCTCTGAGCCCTCGGCCCACTCTCAGCTCTGTTATACACCGTAAGCTCGTGCACCTGCATGTGGATATGCTAGCCCGTGTGCCCAAGCCTGTCCACGCTCCCCCTCAAACAGCTCTCAGGCCTAGGAAAGCATGTACCAGTGTAGCCCACCCTCTGGAAGACAGACCCAGGAAGACCCCTGACCTGAACAGGCATGGGGCCATTTTTTAAAAATTGAATTACAGTCGATTTACAACACTGCGTTAGTTTCTGGTGCGCAGCATAGTGATTCAGTTCTATACAGACATGTCTCTATACGTTCTTTTTCACAACAGGTTACTTCGAGGTATTGAACAGGGTTCTCTGTGCTCTACAGTGAGACTTTGTTGTTATCTATTTTATAGATAGTGGTTAGCATCTGCATGGACCTTGTGCATGGGGCCATTTGAACAGGGAACTACAGGACTCCGGTGAGCAGAGTATGGTCCAGGAGGGCGCTGTCTCCAGATATTGGGTGGATCTACAAACAAAGACTCAGCCATCCCCTTGCAAAGCTCCAGTTTCTCTGACCTCACGTGGGGGAAACTGTTACCTGTCCTCCAGTTGTTCTATTAGCAAAATACTTCAGATGCAGATTCCCAGTGGGTGTGAAATCACTCTTTCTCAAGAGGCAGTGCTGAGCAGAAATATATTTATAAAAGAGCCACAATATCTATTCACCACGTAGCCTCCAGCAGTGTTGCCTGTGTGGAAAGTATCTCGACTGATTGCTGGTAAACTGCAACCAGAATTGATTTCCACATTTCACTGATAAGCATTCATGCAGGTGGTTGAAAAAAAGTAAAAGCTATAAAGAGAAATAATGCGTTCTGTTACCTGTCTCCTCCGTTTGATTTGACTAGAATGCCTCCTCCATTAGACCAGGTTGACTTCACCCCTGGATCCCAAGTTCCTAGAATGAGAAGAATGCCGGCCATCGAGTAGGAATTTGATAAGGATTTGTTACATGGATGAACAAACGGATGGATGAGCAAATAAGTGAAAACATAAATCCTGTCCTGGCTGTTTTCACTACGCCTGGCGCCTTTGCTGAACTGCTCAGATCTTTCACGGACCTTGTTCTGATGGACTTTGAGAATCGGAACTCATTTTCAAGATGCTAAACAGACAATACCAGCTCCGATAGCTAGATGGGACAACAATGTGTCTGAGCTGCCCTGCAGACATTGTGGAGTATTAACTTCCTGGGATCTGTTCACCCTGTTGGCTAGAGGTTTCTGCCTGAGTGTGGTGGGCAGCCTGTATGTTGACTATTGTTCCTTTAAACTTCGGGGACACGTGGAGTTCCACTCTGATGGCCTGGAGGGTTTTCTTCTGGAATAGCTCTTTGGTCCCCCTTTCCTATCATGGTTTCTATATCCCCTTAATTTATCTATTCTCGCTCCCTCACCCCTCTGCTGTGTGTAGCAAAGGACCTGAGAATATGTGAGGAAAATTAGAAGTAATAAAAAAATCTAAAAATCATCAGGTCTGGAAAGGCATAGATGAAAATGTATTCCAAGGATTTAAGCATAAGGTATGGACCTTGGGAGGGCGTCTGCCTCCCATCAGGAAGAATGAAATCCTGAGCAAGCAAGCAAATCGCTGAGTGCCTGTGACGGCAAGGTGTTTGTCAGGCTGGAGGGGAAGGAGGACATTCAGGTAGAGGTAAATGGAAGGAAAGTTAGTGAAGAAGTGAGCTCTGGTTACCCAAGGGCTGACAATGCTGCATACAGTGAGGATGAGAATTAAACTCACCTCTGGGAAGGTCAACCTCTCTAAATGCCGACTCCCCACTTGGAGTAACAGCGTAGAAGTCAGGGTGGATAAGAGAAGAGATCGAGACACAGAATCATCTTCAAGGATCAGAGATCAGACACAGTTGGGCAACAGGTGCATGGAAAAGTGCTTAGCTGCATGAACCATCAGGGGAATGCGAGTCAAGCACCGGGAGATATCACCTACCACCTGGTCGGATGGCTTCACCAAGAAGGGAAGAGATAACACATTGGGGAGGATGTGGAGAAAAGGGAACCCTTGTGCACTACAGGTGGGAAGGTAAGTTGGTGCAGTCACTATGGAAGACAGTATGGAGGTTTCTCAAAAAATTAAAAATAGAACTACGATATGATCCAGCCATCCTATTTCTGGGTGTACATCCAAAGGAAATGAAGTCACTCTCTCAAAGAGATCTGCGCTGACTTGTTTATTGCAGCCTTATTCACAACAGCCAAGATAGCAGAATGACCTAAGTGTCTGTCGATGGATGAATGGATAAAGAAGCTATGGTATATTTCTACAACGGAATATTGTTCAGTCCTGAGAAAGAAGGAAATTCTGCCATCTGCCATAAGTTGGGTGGACCTTGAGTGTATTATGCTAATAGAAAAAAACCAGACAGAGAAAGACAAATACCACATGGTATGCTTTATATGTGGAATATTAAAAAAAAAAAAGAAGTCAAACTCATAGAAACAGAGATTAGAAAAGTCGCTGCCAAGGGCTGAGGAGTGGGGGGAAATAGCGAGAAGCTGGTAAAAGCATACAAACTTTCAGTTATAAGATGAGTAAGGTCTGAGGGTCCAGTATATAATGTGGTGATTACAGTGGGTAACACTGTATTGTGTAACTGAAATTTGATAAGTGAACAGAACTTGAATATTCTCACACATACACAAAAAGATAAATACGTGAGGTGACGGATGTCTTAATTAATGAGATCACAAGAATTCTTTCAAAATGTATATGGGAATCAAATCACCACTATGTATGCTTTAAACCCCTTACAGCTTTATGTATCAATTACACCTCAATAAAGCTGAAGCTAAAAAATGAAATAAAAACAGCCAGAGATCATTGCAGGAGGACACGAGGGCTGCTGGGACTGGCTTTATTCTTTGTTTTGTGGTGATCTCACTGTCACTGTTGCTCTTGCTGTGACACAGGAAGAAAAAGTAAGGTAGTTCATTCAGGTGTCTCTCCTTAAACTTGAACCACCCAGGGATTAGCTTTAACAGATATTTAAACAGATTTTGAAAACGCAGTCATTCAAAGAATGTGGTATATTTGTTCAACTAAACAAAACAGATAACTTAGATTATACTCCATACATATATGTGAGAATTAATTAATTTATTTATTTTTTGTTGGGGGCAGGTAATTAGGTTCATTTATTTAATTATTTATTTGATGGCGGGACTGGTGATTGGACCTGGGACCTCGTGCATGCTAAGCATGTGCTCTATCACTTGAGCTGTACCCTCCCCCAAGAATTTAATATATGAAAAAGAAGGAAAAAATACGATTGAGTAAATTATATTAGAATAAATGGTTAGCCACGTGAAAAATCTCTTCAGTGTTATGAAACAAAATTCCAGATAGATCAAAGAGTTACTTTTTAATCAAAGCATAAACAAACTAAGAAAAGAGAAATGAATATTTATCAAGCTTCTGCAAGGAAGAACGTCTAGATTTGGAAAAGATTTTAAAAATCACAAAGGAAAAGATGGGCAGATGTCATTACAAAAAACTTAAAACTTCCGTCCATAAAAAAAGCATAATCAAACTTAAAAGGAAAACAACGGGGGAACACATTTGAAGCAAATATAACAAAAAGGAGCTGGGTATTTATATATTTGAATTAATGTGAATCTTTAAGAAAAACAAAGATGCCAATGGGTGACTGGAAAAAGGACCTAAACAGACATTTTCTCGGAGAGGAAATGCTACTGTTTAACAAACATGGAAAAAAATGTTCACCATCACTGCTAATCAAAGCCATGCCAGTTAAAACAAGAATATTTCATGCTTTTCAAATTAGCTAGTCTTTTAAAATGATAATAGGTATATTAACATAAGTGTGGCAAAATGAGTATTATCTTACATTGCAGATCAGAGTGTAAATTGGCACAGCCTTTTTTAAGAGAGCCATTTGTAAATGTGTATCCAGTGCCTTAAATGGTCGCACCCTTTGATCCAGTAATTACACACTGGAGCGTTTCGCTTAATGAAGTAACTCGAAACACTGGTGGTGGGCAGGGGGCTGGAGGGAGGGAGGGGGTGAGTTTAGGCAACAAGATTATCATAACAACAGCATAAAATTATAATGAAATGAAATTTTTTTTCATTTAAATGTTTGGTTAAATAATCCATGCCATAATCCTGGAACATTATGGAGTCGTAAAATGCAATGTTCACAAAGACTGTATAATACGGGAAATGTTTATGATATAATAGTTACTGAAAAAAAAGATAAAAATTGCATATAGAGAATGGATACAATTATGTAAAAAAGAAACTATGCATTTAAAAAAGCCCTGAAGAAAAGACATTAACATGTAAATAGTGGCTACACATGGATGGTCAAATTATGGATGATTACTTTTTTTTCCTGCTTTTCAGGAATTTCCTCTTTTCTCCAATAACCTGAGGGGGAAAATGCATTTATAAACATGTAGTATTTCTATTTCCTTTTACGTCTTGGGTCATCGTGAATGTTCAACATTTGTTTCAGGTGAAAGGCACCTTTGGAGGGCTTTGGAATGTAGTTCATATACAAGGTCACGTCCAGTGACTCCTAACGTAAGACCTCTGCCTTAGTTCAGGCTGATATAACAAAGCCCCACAGACTGAGTGGCTTATACACACGAGAAATGTATTCCTCACAGTTCTGGAGGCTGGATGTCTGAGATCAGGGTGCCCGCACGGTCGGGTTCTGATGAAGATCACCCAGAATTCTATAGGAAGTTGTTTCAGTTTCTCACCTTATCTGAGCATTCCATTTGACTTCAAGATCCAGTCACTCTTCCTTTTCTGTGTATATATTTTGTTGCATAACTTCAAGGAAATTGATCAATTGCCAAAAAAAACAATTACAACTGGCCTGTGTGTGCAAACCAATACGATGCCTCTTACTAAACATGCAGGCCAAACCGCTGAGAGAAGTGCAGGGAGGAAACAGGTGGTAACA